CTTTAAAACTAACAAACGACCCCTTAATTACATTCTCTGTCTTAATAATGATTGGCTCCGCAGCATTCGCTATGTAACAGATAGACAAAGGATCTTTGCTTTCGCTTGTTGAAGCGTCCTTTTCAAGGTCATGATCTGCCGTAAAAGCACGCAAACTCGAACAAAATCAGGTTTCTTTTGATTTGCCCCCATTTTTTCAGTTATTTACTCTAAGCTAATTCGAATTTCCCGTCGGCTCGATTCCTTATTAATCATCAACGGGATATTTGAAATACAACATCAAACCCGAAAACTCGAACCATTTCTCGTTTCCTTTGGGAGCTGGCGGTGTCTTTACTCTCTATCAGTTTATAGATGATCAATGTTTTCTCCTTCTCTATTGAGTTGACAATTCCCATAAGTGTGTTTTTATCATGATTATCATTCTATCCAACCGAGTTAAAAGTCATTCGCTACCTTTAAATTGTTGTTGAAGTCGTCGAAAGCATCTCAAAACTTAATAAAACTTCCCCCCCCCCCGTGCAGCTCATGTAGATTGAAACAAAATGAAAAAAAGATTTAACCTCCCTTAACTTTTTACCTCAACACCAAGTTGGAGCAAACAACTTTACTGCTACTTTCGTACCTTTAGCGAACGTTGCACGACTTACATTCTATTGTGTTGATGGGCAGCATTCTTCATTTGATTGTCATCATTAAGTAGTTCTCCCTAACTCTGTCTCCTAATAAACAAAGGCTCTTTCGCTTCAATGCCAATCGAAGCCATTCATGGTAAGCTACCTTTCCGACGGGATTAGAGGCTTGCTGTAATGTAAACAATACAGTTAGCCAAACGAAGTATCTCTCCCCGGTAACCTCCTTCTAACCGCCTCCCGGTTAGCTCAATGGATAGAGCACTGGACTGATCTGCAGGAGGTCGCGGGTTGGAGCCCCGGCCGGCTCAAGGTCTTAAAATGATTGAGAAGGATATGCTGCCTTTCTATAACAACAAGAAATGGCTTCTCGGATAGGGACGAATAAATGAAGGTCCCATCTCCTGCAGGGTTAGGGGTAGGAGACGTTAATTTCCCACGCACGAGATTACTTTATGATGGATGTCCTCCCCTGGGGTGGGATGGATGGGCTGTTGTCTTGCGTTTCATACATGAGCCTCTGGCACGGGCAATATGGGTAACCATGCCCCACGTAAAGACATTAAACTTTGATTACTATTACTATTAGTCGGCAAGCTGCTGTGATCTAACGCCCAAATAGTCAGCTTTTTTAAATTTCTTCACGTTACCGCGATTTTATCAACCTCCGGGCGCAGCACAAAAGCTTCCATAATAGAAACTAATTAGTATTAAAAAAATTATCGTTCTAGTTTGTTTTAGATGTTATTCCACGATGGTTTCACCTTTTTTAAACGTAGGGAAGAACGATCATTTTTCACGGAGTAAAATGTTTTCTTTACTAGTTTTAAATTCCTCCTGCACTAATATCGAGATAGACCCGCGCGGTGCTGGTAAATAAGATCACTCTGCTCGTGATGCGATTAAAATTACAATACTTAAATCTTCTTGACCCTAAAGCCGCCGTCTCAAGTGAGTGCCTTAAGAGCAAAATAAGCCTCAATTATCATTTACATTAAAAATTTTGTTTATCCAAAATAGCAACGCGTAAGTAACTGCACCGAAGTTTCCTTCAGCTTTCGTTCGTCTTCTGCTCTACCCGTGGAATTTTACGTTATGAGGTGAAATCATTTGGAAAAGAAGACAAAAGCTGCTATAGCTGTTTAAGTAATGTATTGGTTATGAAGTAGTTTAAAATTATTTGTATTTCTAGGTAACATTTACCATACGTATACCGCAGAATATCTACACCTAAAGCGCGTGGTATATTTTTTTTTTTACTTCGCAGCCTTAAGACTTCAACAGCCGAAGTCAAGCTTTCCTCAGCTCTCCTCCTCTAAAAAACGCAAAACTCTTAGAGCGCCGAATGTGAGCTATGAATATTCCCCACTGTTCAACCGATGGATGTTAAACCGTTATGCAGGGTGTAGCTCACATGAATCGACAAATAAGTGTGTCCCAAGAATACTTGCGCGCGTAGGAAAACCATGTGCTTTGGCAAATTTTTAGATTTTCGTGTGACAGGTTATTATGCATGTCACGTTTCGTCGATCTTTGGCTTTACAAATAGATCTCTTCATGGATTGTTAGACTTAGAACATCTGCGGCCTCGTAGCTGCACAAGTATGGTTCGTCCGTTTAATTTTTGACATTTGTTAGCGATTTCATGGTCATATACTTGTTGTAAGCGTTGCCGATCGCTTTCAGTTACATTGGATTTCTCTGTATTCGTTTCTTTAGTTTTACGGTTCGGTTCTTAAGGAATATTTCTGCTGAGAAAACATTAAAGAATCTGTAAAACTGTCAGCTATTGACCAGTGGTTTGTTATTGCGACTTTGGGTTGCCGACTTTGCAAGACGCTATCGGTTACACAAGGATACATAAAACTCATCTAGAGATGATTTTCCCTTGTCTTTCTGGCCACTTGGATAACGTTTTTTTTTTACAGCAACCATTCGGCGATCTTGCAGGAAAAAAAGTACATCTAATCATTAAAAATATCAACGGGAGGAAGATCTTGGAGACATACAGTTGAAGTGGTCAGTTCATTACAATACTGTATTCAGTGTTTAGGACCAAATTACATGAAACCAGATTAAAGTAGAAGTGCGCCAACGTCTCTCTCGTTCCAAGGGGCGCAAAGATGAGAGACTCTGGTAGCGGGGTTGGAATTGTGCTTTAGAAAGCATCAATTATTAACCTCCACGGCCACGTTGGAAGGTTCTACATAGTATTCCTACCATTCGAAATTGTCAACATGCAAAACTTTGGACTGCGGTCCAGCTAACCCCGTATTTGGTCGAACTAAGAAGAGGAATTAACTGAAACTAATTACACGAGACGAGAATAGTCGATAACAGTGGGTTGTATCGAGAAGAAAATACCTCAACAATAACCCTAGTTTCTCACAGAGTAAACAAAGTCCTTAGCTTGCTACTTTTTCCTTTCAGGTTTGAAAGTTGAATTCAAACTTCTCAAGTACTTTATTACACGATATAGAATTCATCGAGCTCGTGGATAGACGCTCTTGTAAAAGAGAGAAATTACACCTTAAAAGTAGATGTTTGCGTAGAAATAACCTCCTAAAAAATGCTCTTTTAAAAAAGCCAAAAAAATAACAAAACTTCTGGCAAAAACTATTTTCTTCGAATAACTAAATAATAGTTATCTAATTTTTTTTTTAACTTGGTTTACTGTTGCTCAAAAAATATGCCAATTCTTTTGGCGGGAAATTTGACTAGGGAAAAAGTATGCGCTTTTGATTCGCGTTTGGTGTTGATCAAAAAATGTATACTACGTATTTTGGCGTTAAAAAAACTCTTGCATTTTGCTAAAGATTTCCTTACTTTGTAAACGGCAAAACTGTCAGCAGAAGAGGCAGTAGAGATACTATCAAAAATCGAAGCAAATTACTGAAAAAAAAGGCATGAAGGACGAAATCTGACAGAGACTCGCGCCTCATATAAGTTGGTGCTATGCCATTTTCCAGGTAACAAATAGAGCTTTGACTACGCCCTGTTCTGTTGTAAACCTCGCAGGGAACAGCAACAGAACGAAAGAAGCATAGGTAGAAACACAATCTAAGTGAGAGCTTCTTGGGTTGTGTATTAACGCCACAAGCTTGTGCACTTGTATTTTCCCCCAGACTTGCTTAACTGCATCTGTCGAAAAGCAAGGACAATCTATTTTTAAACACAATATTGATTTTTCTAATAGTAAAGTAGGGTTCGAGGAGACATCCTCACTTCTGCAAATTTGACTATCGGTATCCACTAACAAATCGCCGCGCAGCTATAAAAAGCTGCACTTTTCTTCCTTTTAACCTTGGGTTTCTTTTGAGCACTTGATTTTACAACAACTTTCACCTCGCCTTCTGATAAGTTAAATTAGGCATCTTTAGCAATTTAGATTTTTGCGACGGCGACGGCGACCGGAAGCCGGACTTAGTTCCGCTTGAAGTTTAACATTTTGGCAAGCAGCCGTTCTCTCTCCGCGTGGACGAGAGAGCAGCGAATTTCGCGTTGTCCCACACACCCTTTCTGTCGACAATGGCCGGAAAGTAGGAGGTAATTGCAATGCTTCAGCAAGTCGTCTTTTTCAGCTTGTAGTTCTGCTTTGTATTCGGCTGAGAGTAAAAGGTCACATTGCTGGTAATTAAATTCTTAATTATTGGATTGATAGGTGTTATAAAGAGGGACAAACTCTTTATCCGAAACGAAGTTGTTTGCATAGCTAAGTAAGAGCGCTTCCCGAATGCTCTTGACTTTTGTTTTTCAAACCACAAGTGAAAACAGACGACGTTGCCGTTGAGAAAAGCTAAAGGTTTTTCTTGTCTGGCGGGAAAAACGTAGACTTCACACCAGTCTCAATCGGTCAAAGGTGTCGCCGCCGTCCGAAAACAGAGTCGCTAAAGGTCCTTATTGACAAAACAAAGGAAGGGCACCCACTTTCTATCTTTCAGTTTACACCCTGAACCATCTTCCTCATCTGGTCCACAAGAGTTTCACACTTCTCCTTCCAGCTGTATTTCTTTCCATATGCTTCACGCAGTTCCTTGATCTGTATGTACTCCCTATGCCGTTTTTCAACAGCTGCGATTGCAGTTGCCCATTCCTCGGGTTTCTCTGAATCAACAATAAACAACTTTCCATTCGGTAAGTCTCTTATGGCCTGCGCGAAGCCTGAATTACCGCTGACCAGAATAGGAAGACGAGCAGACAATGCCTCGAGGGCGATGAGACCGAAACCCTCGGCTCGCGACGGCATGATTGCCAGATCAGCTTCACAGAGTAGGTCCTTCATTTTTGCCCTGCTTCCGACAAATCCTCTGACGCACAACTGCTTTTTATCGACGCCATAGCTGAGAAGTAGTTTTGTTTTCTCATCTTGCTCTCCATCACGGACACCCACAAATAAGAGGCTACACCGCGTTTCCCTCAACTCCCCACCAGCAAAGGCCTGGACGGCAATGTCGTAACCTTTCAGCTCAAAGTCCTCCGGATCACCACGACCACACAATAACACCTTGAACTCGGACCTCCCTTCTGGATCTTTATTTAAATCTGGCAAATCCCCAAATTCTTAAAAAAGACCTGGGGTCAACGGAACAATATTTCCATCTGGTTTTGACGCTAGGTATGAAGAGTACTTCTCGCACAGTTTGGGTCCAACGGGTACGACGAGATTAGCTATTTTGCAGAGGGTAATCTCAGTGTCGCGTTTTCTCTGACCTTCAGAGATAGGACAATCATAGCCTTTGTACTTGGCAAGTTCTTCTTGATCAGTATGCACCACTTGGATCCACTTGCAATTATACGGGGGTCGTTTCAGAATTTGTACTTGTGGTCCAAATATTCTTCCGTGACCAAAAACAACAGCTGCATTGAAGTCTTCCGGTGGAGAAATTAACCAATCAGCAGGTTTATAGTATACACATTTCTTTGCTTCCATAACCCTGACTCCATTTCCCCAAGCATCGTCTTTATCTTTCTGGGTACAAGCATCCTAGGGAACCAACACAGTGACTTCCACTTCAGAATGCTTCAGCTTCGCCAGATGTTTCGCCAGTTCCGTCCCCTGTTGAAAGTTGACAGTCCACCACCCTGTGAGGTCCACTCTTCACCTAGAAGAGTAACTTTCAACCTTTCAAGATGATGACAATCTTGCACAGGTTCTACTTGTGATGTAGAAGCTACGTCATACTTGGAACGAGCCTACAAAGAATTCAAGGAAAACGAGGCCAGTCAAGTTCACAACACAACTTGTCAAAGGACTGACATGTCTTCAAGACATCTTGTGCTATGGCTACCTTAAGCTACCTTCTAAAAAGACTTACGAATTGCCCAAAAAATACACAAATTTCCATGCTGCCCGGAGCTGTGTGGTAGCGTGGAAGTGTAGAGGGGCAAAAAACAGAGCGTCCATTGTCACCTAATAAACCACTATTAATGATTACCATGATTGGACAGAAAAGTATACCTGGTAAAACAGCAACATCTTAGGAGAAATTCTCACATGAGATTTTTTAATACAACCCAGCACGGACTGAACGTCGTCCACATTAATTACAATTCATTTATTAATAACTCTCAGTTGAGGAAAAATCAAACAAAGGACAAGTGAAGATTCAGATGCACAATGCTCTTGAGCTGCTCAAGCTTTTCCAGTCATTGCAGGATTTATAATTATTATGCTTTTAAAAAAACCCATTACAGAAATGAAATGGACTTCATTATGCATGCCGACTTACCCTCAAGAACCATTTTTCTAGACCAGGAAACGTAGGTTCTTTGCCACACGAGCATTTTTTACAAAACAGTTTTCCTGCTGGTGCCATCTCAATAAGACATAGGCAGTCTTCATGGGTGCAGGATATCTTGTCATGGTCCTGACAGTTACGTCTCTCTGATGAACAAAACGGACATTCAACGCGCAAGTCATACTTCAAATTGCCTCGCCAAGGAATTTGCTGAGATATATCTTGCAAAGTTCTGTCAAGAAAATTTCGCAAATCTTCAGCGACTTCCTCTCCTTCGACTAGACATTCTTCACTGACTGGTTCTCTGTGCTTCAAGACAATTTTGATGTACCCCTTTTTGCAAAGAAGAATTAATTGATGGAAAAACTTCTTTTCGATAGGGAACCTAGCTATATGGTAATGAAGGGTGGGTGGGTTTCTGAAGCCGTTTTCTGAACACCAACCGCTACAACGAGAGACAAGCTGGTAGAAAATCCCATGGGGAACAAAATCATTGGGGAAACAAAGATATAACGGACATGGATCCAAGTCTGATGGTTTCATTTCACACACATCTTTCGGTGACGATCTGAGCTGCGCTGGTACAAAATACAGCTCAGACTCCTGCGTTGATGTTGCAAACTTAGCGACAAGACCAAAACGCTCCATCATGTCTAGGATGTCCTTTTCAGCAACAGGATTTTCCTTAATAAACTTTGAGAAGACATGACGGACAAGTTCCATGGAAAGGATACCATCTTCCTCTAAACGATGCGAGTAGTCGACAAACTTGGATTGTAGGCCCTAAATAAATAAACAACAACAAATTCGTTAACCCGATGACGGAACTGCTTACATCCTATTTCCAGCTTGGTAAAGTTTGCATTTGATTTTAATTTAATTTACTCTATTTTCACTGCATTAATGTTTTGCAGTGGGGAAGGACTAGAAAGGAACATACGAACCATACGTGCTAGTCCACCCTCCC